GCTAAAGTGCTTTGATCGTATTGTGGCAACTCTTCGTATCGATTCAGTAAAGCATTTGCTTTCGCAGGGAAATACGCAACCCAATTCTTCCGTATGCTCGGTACAAGGCATCCCTGCCGTCTTGCCTCAGCCGTTGTTTCTCCCCTTTGTCCAGCAAATCGCACTCCATGATAATTGCATGCGAGGAGAGCGGAAGCAAATTTGGATTGAAGCGTAACTGGGAACCGGTCACAGCTGACCACTGCGCTAGCGCCTTGCTAGCGCGCGGCTAGCGCGGGTTCGCCGTATTTTTTGGAGTCACGGCGACCATCTGTGTGGATTTGACAAATTAAGGCCACGTAAGATGAAGGTAAACGTGCGGGCTGGCTTCAAGTACTAAGTAAGAACTGCAACATTACACCCTTGAAAGCCACGCAAAGCCCATCGCGGCAACCCACGCGCCAACTCTTGGAAACCAAGATCACCGAAGACCCTAGCGCAAACCAAGCGCCATCCTAGCGCCTCCAGTGGGGAGCGGGCAATCCATTGGTATTTGCAGGACTCCGCTTTGTGTGAATGAAAAACTGCACAAAGTGACTGCGACGGTGGCCTCTGTAGACTAAACCCCCTTACTAGGAATTTTGACCGGATCGCATATGTGTTTTATCAGAACAATCGCATGCTTTCACCTGGAACACAAACATGTGCTGACGTGGAACACACTCATGTGGTCACATGCAAAAAGTGCGTGTTCACTTGGAACGCGCCGATGTGGTCAGCTGGAACACACCAAGAACACACAATCATTTACTTGAAGCACTCGTACGTGCATCCGCAGCATGCTGCCTGTGGCTTGATCAAGCGCACGCGCGCGCTCAAACACACGTTTCTGAGCCTCAAACACACATGCGTGCCCGCGGAATACACCGCGAATGACCAGGGAGCCGTGCCAGGCATCCAGGCTGGGGGACAACAAGAAGGAGACAAAGGGAGACAAATGAACCCGTCCGCCCGGAGAGCCGTGCCAGACATCCAAGCTGGGAGACAAACGAATCCGTCCACCCAGAGAGCCGTGACAGGCATCCAGGCTGGGAGACAACCGGGGCCAAATAAAGGGAGACAAAGGGAGACAAATGAATCTGTCAGGCAAATGAACAGGTGCCAAGAGCACCACTGGGTATCTCGGCGTAGGTTCGTTGAACATCATCGAAGAATCGAGAGACGATTTAACTCCAGCGTGATTCACGTTTGTTTCACCGGGGGGTTAACAGAGCCTTCTCGTAGCTGAAGCCGTGCACCGCAGCGCACCGCTCTCGTCAGCTCGGGACTCCAAATGCGAGCAAGGACAGAGAGAGGCCGCAACTGATAACGAGGCACTGAACGAACAGACAGGGTGTAGCCAACGATAGACAAGGAAGACGACCCACCACGAGCCCAAGCAAAATCGAAGTCCAGATGAAGGGCAGACAGAGGACCCTGTCCCCAACATCCACAAGACAAGGAATGACCGAAGCCAGGGCCGAAGCCGAAGGCAAACCAGACCCCGCCAAAAGGACAGAACCGCGGGAAGTGAAGGAAACCGCGGAGCGTGAGTGCCACACATCCAGGCTGGGAGACAACGGGAGACAAATGAATCCGTCCACCCAGAGGGGCATCCAGGCTGGGAGACAACGGGAGACAAACAAAGGGAGACAAAGGGAGACACATGAATCCGTCCACCCAGAGAGGCATCCAGGCTGGGAGACAACGGGAGACAAATAAAGGGAGACAAAGAAAGACAAATCAATCCGTCCACCCACAGAGATGGGAGACAAATGAAGGGGAACCAAGGGAGACAAGTGAATCCGTCCGCCTGGGGAGCCGTGACAGACATCCAGGCTGGGAGACAAGGGAGGCCAAATGAAGGGAGACAAAGGGAGACAAGTGAAACTGTCCACCCAAAAACCCGTGCCAGGCATCCAGGCTGGGAGACAACGGGAGACAAATGAAGGGAGACAAAGGGAGACAAGTGAATTTGTCCGCCTGGAGAGCCGTGCCAGACATCCAGGCTAACAAAGCCCAGAGAGCCGTGCCAGACAAATGAAGGGAGACAAAGGGAGACAAATGAACCCGTCCACCCAGAGAGCCGTGCCAGGCATCCAGGCTGGGAGGCAACGGGAGACAAATGAAGGGAGACAAAGGGTGACAAATGAACCCGTCCACCCAGAGAGCCGTGCCAGGCATCCAGGCTGGGAGACAACGGGAGACAAATGAAGGGAGACAAAGGGAGACAAATGAACCCCTCCACCCCAGAGAGCCGTGACAGGCGTCCAGGCTGGGAGACAACCGGGGCCAAATAAAGGGAGACAAAGGGAGACAAATGAATCCGTCAGGCAAATGGAGGGAGACGGAGACAAATGAACCCGTCCGCCGGGAGAGCCGGGACAACCCCAGGTGCCAAGAGCACCACTGCGTATCTCAGCGTAAGGTTCGTTGAACATCCTCGAAGAATCGATAGAGGATTTAACTCCAGCGTGATTCACGTTTGTTTCACCGGGGGGTTAACAGAGCCTTCTCGTAGCTGAAGCCGCGCACCGCAGCGCACCGCTATCGTCAGCTCAAAGACAAGGAAGACGACCCACCACGAGCCCAAGCGAAATCGAAGTCCAGATGAAGGGCAGACAGAGGAGGACCCTGTCCCCAACATCCACAAGACAAGGAATGACCGAAGCCAGGGCCAAAGCCGAAGGCAAACCAGACCCCGCCAAAAGGACAGAACCGCGGGAAGTGAAGGAAACCGCGGAGCGTGAGTGCCACACATCCAGGCTGGGAGACAACGGGAGACAAATGAATCCGTCCACCCAGAGAGCCGTGCCAGGCACCCACAGAGATGGGAGACAAATGAAGGGGAACCAAGGGAGACAAGTGAATCCGTCCGCCTGGAGAGCCGTGACAGACATCCAGGCTGGGAGACAACAGGAGCCAAATGAAGGGAGACAAAGGGAGAAAAGTGAATCTGTCCACCAAAAAAACAGTGCCAGGCATCCAGGCTGGGAGACAACGGGAGACAAATGAAGGGAAACAAAGGGGTGCCAGACATCCTGGGAGACAAAGGTAGACAAATGAACCCGTCCACCCAGAGAGCCGCGCCAGGCATCCAGGCTGGGAGACAACGGGAGACAAATGAAGGGAGACAAAGGGAGACAAATGAACCCGTCCACCCAGAGAGCCGTGCCAGGCATCCAGGCTGGGAGACAACGGGAGAAATCAAGGGAGACAAAGGGAGACAAATGAACCCGTCCACCCAGAGAGCCGTGCCAGGCATCCAGGCTGGGAGAGAACGGGAGACAAATGAAGGGGACAAAGGGAGACACATGAACCCGTCCACCCAGAGAGCCGTGCCAGATCCAGGCTGGGAGACAACGGGCGACAAATGAAGGGAGACAAAGGGAGACAAGTGAATCTGTCCACCCAGGCATCCAGGCTGGGAGACAACGGGAGACAAATGAAGGGAGACAAAGGGAGACAAATGAACCCGAGCCGCGCCAGGCATCCAGGCTGGCTGGGAGACAAATGAAGGGAGACAAAGGGAGACAAATGAACCCGTCCACCCAGAGAGCCGTGCCAGGCATCCAGGCTGGGAGACAACGGGAGACAAATGACAAAGGGAGACAAATGAACCCGTCCACCCAGACTGGATCATCCAGGCTGGGAGACAACGGGAGACAAATGAAGGGAGACAAAGGGAGACAAGTGAACCCAGGAGACAAACGAACGCGTCCACCCAGAGAGCCGTGCCAGGCATCCAGGCGGGGAGACAACGGGAGACAAATGAAGGGAGACACAGGGAAATGAACCCGTCCACCCAGAGAGCTGTGCCAGGCATCCAGGCTAGGGCTTGGCAACAGGCGAGCCACCTTAAATGAATTTAGAACCCCTCACAGTAAACTGTTTGGGGAAAAACCATGGGTTTTTGCACCTCGACCACGCCGATCCCCGCAGAGGGTCGCGCGAGCAGGTTAGAAATCGCAAAAAACCATGGGTTTTTGCACCTCGACCACGCCGATCCCCGCAGAGGGTCGCGCGAGCAGGTTAGAAATCGCAAAAAACCATGGGTTTTTGCACCTCGACCACGCCGATCCCCGCAGAGGGTCGATTTTCGTGTAGTGTCGTCGGCACTACCCCGCCGCCCTAAGAAGAGATTTTAACTCCTCGCAAGTCAATTGCACTTGACTCCTTGCACTTGCAACTTGCACTTGACTCCTTGCTTGTTTCAAGGAGTCATTGCAAGGAGTCATTGCAAGGAGTCATTGCAAGGAGTCATTGCAAGGAGTCATTGCAAGGAGTCATTGCAAGGAGTCATTGCAAGGAGTCATTGCAAGGAGTCATTGCAAGGAGTCATTGCAGGAGTCATTGCAAGGAGTCATTGCAAGGAGTCATTGCAAGGAGTCATTGCAAGGAGTCATGAGAGCCATTGCAAGTTGCAAGGAGCCAAGTGCATGGAGTCAAGTGCAAGTCGCAAGTGCACGGAGTTAAGTGCAAGTTGCAAGTGCAAGGAAGTGCAAGGAGCCAAGTGCAAGGAGCCAAGTGCAAGGAGCCAAGTGCATGGAGTCAAGTGCAAGTTGCAAGTGCATGGAAGTGCAAGTTGCAAGTGCAAGGAGTCAAGTGCAAGTTGCAAGTGCAAGGAGTCAAGTGCAAGTTGCAATCCTTGCCATGACTCCTTGCAATGACTCCTTGCAATGACTCCTTGCAATGACTCCTTGCAATGACTCCTTGCAATGACTCCTTGCATTGACTTTCATGATGATGATTCCTTGCAATGACACCTTGGAATGACTCTCATGAGAACAATTCAAGTGAACCCAGCGGAAGAACCCTTCGCCATGCTTTCGGGAACAACACAAAAAAACAGATGCCTTCTTCTTCCTCCCCCCCAAAAAAAACGGATGCCTATTAAGACCTAAGCTTTCTTCCTCCATGGACATTTTCTGGGCCTCGCCTTCTGCCCCGCCCCGCGCCCCGCGCCCCGCGCCGCCGCCGAGGCTTCTCGGACCAGGCGGCGGACGTGGAGGGCGCCAAGGCAGTCGGCACCCGCCGCTTCTTCGGCGCGCCCCACGCGACTCGGCACGCGGTGCACTCGGCGCGAGCCACCGGGGAGGAGGTGAGACCATGAGTGGAGCCCCATGCCGTGGTGGTTCTTGTGGAGTAGTGATTTAGTGGTTGAAATTCCGGTTTAGTGGGAAATTGCGGTTTCGTGGAAACATGTTTTACAAACTTTTCGCTTATGCAGTTTAGTGGTTGAAATCCAAATCCACTGAACTCCTAAAAATTGAATTTTTGCGAACCTTCCAACGTCAACCAAGCTACTGTAGCTCTCAGTTGCTGAAATGAATAAGTGTTTGATCTAAAACCTGTTGGTTTTGCAGAGAATTTCCATTTCACTACCGGAAATATCTGAGTGTTTTTTCCAGAGGACTTCAGCAAGTGGAAGCGAATCAATGAGGGCTATTTTGTGGGGGGCTATCCCCGGATAAGGGCCAAGTTGATAAGCCCTGAATAAGGACTTATAGGGTCAATAAGGGATAGCGCCCCCTTGCTATGGCCGCCCCTAGAGGTCCACGAGTCCACCACCTACGGTGGGGTGGACCAAATTCCAGATTTTCTGGGGTGATGGCTTGTAGTTGGACTTGCAACCTGCATGGGGATAGATGAAGCCCGACAATCAATGGTGGATAAACATGGAGAAGCCAGCGCCCAACTGATGTGAATCGGATTTTGTCCATCCACAGTATGGCGTATGGCGAAAAGATTCGCGGGTAAAGCCACTCCTGAGTTCCGTTTCGGACTCAATCGTCACTCTCTGGGCTTTGCACCATTTTAGCGGTAATTAAGAGTTTGAGGGCTTTTTTCGGCCAATCCACTTAGGGAGTGAGCCTTATACAGAACTTACCCTGTCCACATATGGAACCTCCCAGAGAAATGGTCCCTTTGCAAGGAACATCGTCTTCAGGGACCTTTCAGTCAGGTTCCATGTTACAGGAGGGTCGATGGATGATGCTGTTTCGCTTTCTAAAGTATCCGAACATCTTGCTTCCGGTGTAACTTGGTTGGGGCGAAGCAAACACAAAAAAAAAAACATGTTGGTGTGATGGTGTTTTGTTCGTTTTCGTGCAGCACCTTATTGGAAAACTTTGATTTCCTTTGCTAAGCATCGAACGGTTCTCCACATTGGCCTTGTTGAGGTCCAAACCCATCAAATGGAGGTCCGAAGCCACCCCTATGGCGGGTCCCTGCTGATGCTTACTTACTGTTCGATTCGCCAAGCAAGTGGAAGACGCCACTTGGTGTACAACCTCCAAAACAAGGCCAACCCCACTGAACAGGTGACTTAATTCGTGGGTTAGAATCGGACGTTTACCCTTACAACGTACAAACTTGGCAACGACCGCCCAAGTGGGATGGCAGGTTTTGTCTTCTTTCAAATGCGTTGGCCTTTGGCGAGTTGAATATTTGGTTGTGCTTACACCACGCAGGCCGCGTGTCTTTGGCGATCAACAAACAGAGGAGTGGTTGTTCGGGAATAGCAGAAGACAAGGGAGGAGGACTCTCTGCATGCGAAAGGAAGGTGTTTTTTTTCTTTCAGTTGGTTTCCTCCAATTCCCTCTCTATGGTTGGACCTCAGTCGAAAGCGATCGTTTCAATGGAAACAACCAGTAAATTGATCCAATATTTTGAATGGGGACATCCGAGCCCAGGTACAAGATACCTTCGAGCTGGAGAAGATCATCTGCGGAAGCAACAAGATGTCGGAGCACAAGGATGGCGGGAGTGGGGAAAAATGCGGCGAAGCCCCGCGCTAACCCTGACTTGGGTTTGATATCCAGCGTACCCCGCCATTTGGCTTCAAGGGGCTTAGTCAGTACTCCCCGAAACCGACCTTGGGGACCTTGTTCCTGCTTTGTTCGACTCTTTTTGGGAGAGAAAAGAGACGCTAGAATCAGCTAGGCCTTTGGTGGCTTGCTGGCTTCGGGAATTGGACCTCTGGTTCTTGTGGGTACAGGAGAAACCACCCCTGAACCACCAAACTGGCCAGAAACGAGCTGAACTAAAATCAAGTACCCTCAAGAAAAGGACACGTGGTTTTCCAGCTGAAATCCACTGGATGGACAACCAGACTTGGAAGCGGGAAAACTGGTCTGCCCCATTCCAGTTTTTCGGGGGCCTGCAAGCTTCCATACTTCGACTCGAACTCCAAAAGTTTGATGTGGCCGTGGGTCAAGGACAAGTACATCCATGGCTTGCCCTGGTACATGGACACCAGGTCTAAGACCTGTCTGGCGGCGACTAGTTTGGCCCATGACCTGGAAGTCGAACAGCAAGAATGTTTCCAACCTCAGGTTCCCCTTTCTGGGCACAGCACTTCGCTGCAGAGGAATCGGGCCCGCTGGGTGCCACTGAATATGGTACCCGCCTGTTTTGAGGTAGCTTCAGCTTCGGAGGGGTTTCCATGGAGGGTCCTTTCCGGCTGAGAAAATCGCTTCGCCCGGCGAAGCTTCTCGTCATTTACCTAGGTAACCATGGGAGTCAGCCAGAAATCTAGAAATACCGAGAGTTGAGCATGGATCGAAGGGTTACCTACTAGAAAGGAGAAGCGCCTGTGAGGAATTTGGGACCTCAAGGCGCAACGGCACCGTTGGGTAGGACCAGTTTCTGCCATAAACAAACAAACTCCCTGTTAAAGCAATAAAGAAGTCATGGGTCATCAGCCACTTTGGTATCGCAGAAAGTACTATTTTTGTATGTTTTCGGCCAAACCGTACCTGTTGCCCGCGACCGGCCAAGCGGGAGACCTCCAAGAAGCGTGGCAGGCGCAGCAGAAACGCACTTCTGAGCCCCCCGACACCCACCCCAGCTCCATGCTCCACACCCCTTGCATGGAGCGCGGCGACTTTTCGGTTTTATTCCGCCATCATCAACTTGGCAAACCCTTAGCCAGAAAAGCCAGCCTCGGATGCACCGGACAGCCATCTCCAAGCAAACCTAAAGCCTACACCTAAACCCTTAAAACCTAAACCTAAACCCTAAAAACCCTAAACCTAGACCCTTAAACCCTAAACCTAAACCCTAAAAACCCTAATGTTGGACTCTCTTTAATGTTACCCCCCCCCTGAACAGTGGAACCAGTCGGCGGGACTCTCTTTAGTGAAATCCTGGGGGTCTGGGAGGAGCAGTACTGTCTTTAGTATTGCCAATTCTACCTTTTTCTGCCAAAGCTCCCTCTAACATTTCCAGTACTTACTTTAGCATTTCCAATTCTACTTCAGTATTGCGAAGGCTCCCTCTCAGATTTCCAGTACTTACTTTAGTATTGCCAATTCTACTTTAGTATTGCCAAGGCTGACTCTCAGATCCCCAGCACTTACTTTAGTATTGCCAATTCTGCTTTATATAATATTGCCAAGGCTGACTCTCAGCTTCCCAGTACTTACTTTAGAATTGCCAATTCTACTTTAGTATTGCCAAGGATCGTTTTTTTTCAGCAACCCCCGAAACCAGTTGGACACTAAAGAGGACCCCAAAACAGCCGCATTAAAGAGGATCTGGGCCTCTTGTGGGCACCCCCCCCTTTGTGTGACTGTTTTGCCCGCACTTTTGTGTAAAGAAGTTATCTTAAATTTGATGGTTTGGGGACCACTTCAAGAAAAGGATTTCCCAATGTTTGCCAGGATTTGTTTGCCCGTTTTTTTGCACGACTTGTTTGCCAAGTGTTTTGCCAATATTTTCCCAGCGTTGCTTCCGGGAAAAACACTTTCCATAATAGAGGACCCCTAAAACAGTCAAACGATTCTGATTTAGAAAAGATGTTTCCACAATAGAGAGTACTATTAGTAAAGGAGGTCCAACATTAAACCTAACCCAAAATACCCTAACCGTTAGGCCCTAACCCTAAACCCTAAACCGTAAAAACCCTAAACCCTAACAACCCTAATCCCTAACAACCCTAAACCTAAACCCCAAAAGCCCTAAGCCTCAACCCTAAAGTGCCTGAAAGCCGGATACGTTTGCCGATGACACACCTGCCGCCAACATCATACAACATAATACGACCTTGTGGGCGACGCGTATGTTTTGTGGGTATGTTTTCTCCTCGACAAGCCATGGTTTATTATTCGTTGGTGTTCCGTCGTTGGTCCATTTGGTTGGTGGTCGGGTTGCCTGGTGAGTTGAGGTTGGTTGCCTGGTTGGACCCCGTTCTTCCACATTGTTTAGGCAATTTAAATTGCGGGGAGCCCTAAATATTCTGATTTGGAGCACTTCAAACGGTGAATCCTTGAGTCCCTGACGGGCTGTGGTGCATGCTATGCTCTTTGGGGTCTTCTCCAAAAATATGTGAGTCCTTAGGTAGACAAAAACATGAAGCAGAAGGTTCTGAACAATTTTCCCTGCACCCCAGATGCCGAAGTATTGTTCAATCAGCATCCTTTTGGTATCCTAAGGGGATTTGGCAATGTTACCAGTTGGCAAAACTGGTAAAAACTAATTCATCGAAACCCGGAATCCCGCAATGTCCGTTGCAGAAGGTGGGTGTCTTATTTTCCCCCCCCCCGTTCAGATGGTTGAAACAACATCTTGTTGGCCCGAGTGTGCTTGGGTTTTCTTTGGGCGCGTGATGTTACAGGTTGGAAAAAGAGTATACCTGCCCTGCTCTAGTTGAGTACAGCCCGACCGGGATATTCCCCCTGCAGATTAACGTGGGTTCCCCAAAAACACCACACAAGTGTAGCAACGGAAGCTCCTTTTGGTCTGTTTTGTAGGGGGCTGCAGAAAACAAAGTTTGTTGCCACCATACCAAGGGCTGGTATTGTTGCAATTTTTAGATAACCATGGTGGTTATATGGTGGGCCAACAAAAATAACACTTGCCATTGTACCACTAAATTTGTCAAACCCAAAAGTATAAAGTCCAGAAAATATGTTTATATCAACCCAACCATTGCTTTCATGGTGGCATCTGAACCAACCAGGGCGGGTCTTCGGGAGGAAAAGTTTGAATCGCCTCGCCAGGACCAGCACGAGCAACGGCAACGCGACCTCTCCGAGATGTTCGAAGGCGGCATATCGAGTGCTGAACCGGCGCAGAGCGAGCCGCCATGGGTCCGGTGAGCGGCGAAGCTTCCATTTGCATTTCAAAATATGGTTCTTGGTTTTAAAGGCTAGGTCCCCCAGTAGGGTTCCCCTACTCAAATACTACGGAAAAAAAGGGTACCTTTATTCTAACCTCTCTACTGGAGAACCTAATATCAATCGAAAGAAGGGATCCCCAAAATGGAGCCTTAAGAGATCTCCGATCGAAATCCTTTCGGACGTTGTGAGGTACCGTTGCACTCTTAGGGTAGGCCATGACTGCTTATTGCAGGACGGGGCATTTTCTTTGGCTTTTGTTGGCACCATTTTAGCGACCAACCCACTCGAGACCAAAGACCTCACCAGGGGGGCACCTGAACTTTACGGCTTACGACGCTTTGTTGAGCCAAACCTCATTGCCCAAAGACACCAAAGCAAATCAACATGTTGACCGCTTTTGGTTTCCCCTTAACCCTTTTTTGGCCATGTTCAATCATAGCTCCAAGAGGTTGACCTTTTTGTTTTTCAACCATTTGCTTAATACTATTTGCTTGATTTTTCCCTCTTGGTTTTAAAGTTGGCATCGATTTCACAACTGGACATATTGTCTCATTTTTCCATGGGGGCCGCAAAAACCAAATGGAAGCTCAAGTATCACCTAAGGTTCACCCCGGATTAAACCCCTGGTCGATTAATAGGGTGTCCCCGTTTAATCATGGCTCTAAGGGTTGATTCCCTTCTTTCCAACCATCGTTCTTTGCGAAAGCCGGCCGTTTCCCCGGGCTTCCGGAGGTTTTCTAGAAAGATTCGGATCCCTGGAAAGAATGGGGAAGGTAGCAGTAGAATGGCCACAAGAGGTGGACCTTTGTATTTCTTGGTCCGATGACCTTGGCTCTTTCGCCTTTTTTTTTTTCCTCCAGGCTTGGCGGGCTACAGCGCGCAGGCGGAGGACGAGGGCGACGGCCGCAGCCGCAGCAAGCGGCAGCTCGGACCGGGCCGACGGGCGCCTTCTGCCGTTTTTTTTTCTGGGCATTTGACTGGACTTTACCTGAACCTTCAAAATTCCAACTTAAAAATGGGTCAATGACCCCCAAAATGATGGTTGGTGATATCCAATTTTTATGGGTAGTTTGAGGGTTCAGGTAGTCACCTTTTGGGGTTGGACCATTTTTAGTGCTTAGTAAGACTTTACAATATCGCAAGACCAAGTAGAAGCACATGTTAAATGGCCAATAGAGTTTTGGCAGTGATCAAGTAAAGTCTGACTTCCTGAGTGGACTGGCCAACAAAAGTTCAAACTTGTATTTACCAATAAATTTGTCCAACCCCAAAAAGTGACATGAAGAGTCCATGAACTTAAGTGCCCAGAGGCTCCTGGCTTCGGCTTTCGAATGGGAGCCTCTGGGTGGGAAGAAAAAAGTGGGAAGAAAAAATGGCCATGGGTCAAAATCCCGTACCCTCAGTGAAGATCCCAATCCCCACTAAAATAGGTGCGCGGTGAATTCACCCACCATTTCCAAAATGGGATCCCAAACCGGTTTTGACAACCACAGCCAAATGCTTTCGGATCCCCCGCTAAAAGGTTGTAACTAGCGGGTGAAATGGAACAGCCGAAGCCTCCATCACCCTCTTGGTACCAAGAGTCAGCCTTGCGGGTGTTGGACGCCTGGAGCGGCGAACATGGCTTTAGGACATCGGGCGCTTGGCGGGGTCCGTCATCTAGGCCCCCAGCTTGGTGCCAACTTTTGCCGTTTCTTTTTTGGTTGAGAGGGTGCCCCTACTAAACTAGACGGCAGAAAAAAGAAACGGTACCCTTATTCTAACCTCGCAAAACTGGAGGACCTAGTCATTGACTACGTCACTGTTGGCATGTTTCTAGGTTCGTAGGTTTGTTTGGCTCTGGTCGTTTTTTGGGTTCGGGGGCTGCAAAGACGATTTGTTTCTTGCTGCTACCGTACCCGGGGTTGGAAAGATGACGTGTTCATGTTACTCGAGTGGACAAGGTAAAGTTCTTTTGCCAGATATTTGCTGGATGCTTATCCCAATTCCAAGCCTGGAAGACACCAACCGTTTTGCATCATGTTTGCACCAGAGGCTAATGCGCCACGAACTCAGACTAACCATATGCGGCACAGCTTGCCAAACTTTTTCGGGCAGCCCTGGGTCTTTTGTTGGGCTTTCCAACCCAACAAGGAGCGCAACCCAACTTACTCCGCATGGGCGAAATTCTGCACCACCTAAGAAAGGTTTCAATTTGCGAATTGGGTTTCGTGCAGGCACGGTATCTACCCAGAGGCTCCGATCGGCTTCGGCTTTCAATGGACCCGACCCCTCCATTAGACATTCCTTTGAGGTGTTTCACGGTGTTTCGGAAATTCGGGGTCTCAAAACCTGGCTGTACGGCCCTAAAAAAAACCGAAAAGGCCCTGTCGGGTCTCAAAAAAACGGCTGTACGGCCCCGAAAAAAAAATCGAAAACCGGAGCCGGGTCGGGCGCTTCCCCTTTCCAGTGCTCTTTCAAAGGCCTTGATGTCCAACTCGCGGTTTGGCTTCGTGAGCTGAAGCGAAACGTGGGCCGGCCGGCCGGCAACCATGTGTCGAGTTGTTTTTCTTCAGCTCGGTGCCTTTGTAGCGTTTGTTTTTTGGGTTGGGAGGGTGAGGGTTGCCCTAAATAGACGGCAGAAAAAAAGGGTACTACTAAAATAGAAAAAGTTGGCCCTTTTCCTAACCTCTCCACTGGACCTAGATGTTTCGTGGGAGGAAACTCACCGGCTCCTTGGCTCGGCTCGAGACCAGCGCTGGTCACGGCCCAGGAACTTTTGGGGCGCTCCGCACGTGCAGGACCTCGAAACAGGGGGGAGTCGCCGGAGAGCGAAGGGGCAAGGACAAACAGCGAGCTCATATCAGCCAGTTGGCTACGGGAATGCGAGCTAATGGGGTCTAGGTAGCTGCCGCGTTGTGCTACAAACTTATGGTTGGGGCATACCCAGTGGATCCATTTTCCTGGTAAAGGCAGGCAACCATCCCATGTTTAAGGGTATTTGGAGGTCCAGGTATGTGTAAACGGTGGGTTGGGGACCCACTGAAAATGGACACCAAGAAGGGGTCCAATTCTTTTCTAGCGAGAGCTGGGTTTTGGGCCAGCCACTTTCCGTGCCAATCCCGTCGAAAGTTCTTTCTTGCGGCATAAGGGGGTTCATTTGAACAAGTACACAAGGATCATGACTGAAATCTGAATTGGGTCTTGTCCCGAATCCGCACGCCCATTCCATGGATTCAAGGCCTTCTAGTCATGGCTCGACCCCGTAGATCCCAAGCGAACCCTTCGATCCAGCCCACGAAAGGCTTTTAAAGGGTGGTTCCCTTGGTTGCCAAGACAGGTACAGGGGGAGTCACAGGGCCTTGTTCACTCCATTTTGTCGGAGGGATCAACACATAATCTTCACTTTGGACAAATTTGGAGGTCCGCGAATCTCATATTGGAGTAGCTCCCTTGCCGCGTTTTGCCACCCCTGGTTGGCACAAGCCAAAATACCTTGGGAACACTACGAGCTTTGTTGTGAGCTACCACCGTTGCTTGGGAGGCCGTGTAGATGAACAGTGAGTTGGCCGCCCGTACCCCCAGTGAACATCCCAATGAAATGGATTTCCCCAAAATTCTAGGGGTACCTTCCATTTCCATTCTTTCCAGGGATCCTTCTTTCTAGAAAACCTTTGGAAACCCAGGGAAAGTTGCCGGTTTTTGAAAAGAACGATGGTGGGAAAGAATGGGGACTCAACCCCTAAAAAAATGGTACCATTGGTTTTGACCAGCCAGTTGGGAGTTACCGTCCTTTTGGATGAATCGGAAGCAGGCTTGGGATTGGTCAGCATGTCCTGTAGTGGGAGCTTATGTTTCAACCCTGGGTGTCTGCGCTGCGCTCGGCATGTTTTTTAGGTCAGGCTTTCTGGTCCTGTTCATGCTTAGAAAAAGTGGGGGGGATGCACCTCTTTTGGGCTCTTCCAAAACGCGAGTATTTTGACGAGGGTTGGTCGCCTTGATTCCTGAACGTGTTAGGACACTCCGCTTGCCGGGGTTCTTTGCGGCAGCGACAAGATGGAGGACTGGTGAATCGGCTGAGCTGCAGGGCCTGCGCTTGTGAGGGCCTCTCTTGTTCGTGGGCTGGGGGGTCGTTCTTTCTGGGAGGGGGCGTGCTTTAAGACACATGTCAAATGTCATATTTCAAGGTTGACGAAATATAAAACGGAAGTATGCCATTTTGGTGTGCGCTGTGCTTTCTCGAGGGTGCCCCTGTTGTGTGAATGAAGGGGTTCTTCCCTTTGTTCGGCCTGTTCAGGGCTACAGGAAAGCCAAAAGGAAAGCTACCAGTTTGTGTGTCCGTCAGAAACGCCACGCCACTGAAGACTCGCTTAAAAACAAAACAAAAAAAGGTCCCGGACCCTCCAGCCCTCCCTCGAAGGGAACGAACAAAGGCCTGTTTTGGATGTTCAACCAACTTAGTGACTGGGGGACCCCGGTTTTTCGTGGGCCAAGATTCCACCGGGTGGGCTTTCAGGGTCGGTTCCCAGCCGTCCGGTTCCCCTCGGTTTTTAGGCTAGGGTTTAGGTGGCCGCTGCATTGAGGTGTCGTTTCCTGAGTACACTAAGGCATTTTGGACGTGGACGGCTACCCTGCGGAGGAATGAGTTTTAGGGTTTAGTCGCGAGGTTCCATTTAACCCGCTAAAAGGTGTTCACTTTTAGCAGGGGATCTGACAGCCCAGTAAACATGTAGCCCATCCTAATTGGCACGTGCGATTTCAGACAATCCTAATTGGTACACATGTTTTCTTTTTTGGCGTTCAGGTGCTTGCCGGTTTGTAAATGAGGGACCCCCCCAAAAATATGGGCAGTTTCTCCCCTTGAATTTCTTGTTCGAGCATCCCCAAAACGTGAAACAGGTGGTAACTCCCAGAAAAGCTAGCGACACCCATATCAGCAGCGGTCAAAAACTGGTTGCTATTGTCCACTTTGGTCGGGGGTATGCTTCCTACCTTGTTGCATAGGGATGAGAGAGCGGTTTGGTTTATGTAGGTAGTTTGTTATCATGTTGGTAAGTTGGTAGAACCAAAAGTTATCCTCAGTTCTCCAAAGCCGCCCTTTTGACCTTCTGTTTCCCCCCTTCCGAGTTCCCAGTTTTCGTCATAGGTTTAACAAGTGAGCAGCGCTCAACATGTATTTCTCGGTTTGTGAGGTGCAGCTGAATCGCGGGATTTAAGTTTCAGGCGCTGCTTTGTTTCGAACTCCAGGGAATTCCGCGGGACGCGGCAATGGAATGCCGGGATCTCGAGAGGCGATGTTGAGACCAGACCAGACTCCCCTAGGTCCCCCAGCAGTGCCCTGTTGCACCTTATTTTTGGGGAGGTTCCCCGACTAAAGTAGACTACAGAAAAAAGTTGGTACCCTGATTCTAGCTTCTGTTTTTTGTTCTTATGACAAACCCAGAGGATCCCACAAAACCCCGTTTCGCTACTAGAGTGGGCAACCCTTCGATCCATTTTCCTCTCGGTTTTTACAGGGTATGTAGTTTCCTTGGTTACCTCATGTTACCTACTATGCAGTGAAACGGAATCACTGATGAATTGTAGAAGGGGTATGAACAAGGGGTATGCACTTCCACCCTTAGAATCAAGATTGATTTGAGCCCCAAAAAAAACCCAAACATACCTCCCAGAGGTCGCTTTTTAGCTGTGGACCATTCTAGTGGCAAACCAAAGTTTGGACTTTCTTGGCCAATCCCCTCTTGCGGAAGTGTGACTGAAACGGGGGCTGCCCCCAGCAAAGATGCACCCATGTGAGCTGTCAGGATTTCTAGCTTCCCGTAAAACAGGGGGGGAACACAAGGATTCCGTCCTCGTGGTGGTTGGCCTATCTTACCTCTACTCCAAATCCCTGCTTTTTCTATTGTATTTTTGGATGAAGGTTTCCCAAGCCAAGGCAAACACCTCCTTTGTTTTTGCCATCATACCAAGGTCCCCTAGTAGTGCCAACTTTTGTCCTTTTTTTGGGGAGGGTTCCCCCACTGAAATAGACAAAAACAGCACCCTTATTCTACCCTCTCAAATCTGGAGGACCTAGATACCCCACAAAACACCCGCTTCACCTGGAGTCTCCATGAATTTTTGAAAATGGGGTCATGACCCCTCAATTTTGGGTATATAGTTCAAATGGTGGAGACTCCAGGCACTGCCATCCAAGACCTAGAAATTAGTATATGTTGGTACCCTTAGTCTAACCTCTCTGACCTAGATACCCTACCACACCCGGCAAAAAGTCACGCGGGTCTTTGGAGAGAAGCTCGTCTTGCGGTCGGGTTTTTGTTTGGGTCCGGGACTTCAGCAGGAGTTTCAGCAGAAGCACCAAGACAAGCACTGCCCGGGGCTTGGAAAAGCCGTGGCGATGGCGCTTGGTGACGTTTTCGGGTTTTTGGGGAGAAGACCTTCCTAGTTGCTGAAGTATATGGCTGTGGGTCAAAACCAATGGTACCATTTTGGGGTACGTGCACCACCCGTTTTAGTCTATTTTAGTGGGGATTGGGATGTTCACTGGGGGGTACGGGATTTTGACCCGTGGCCATATTTGTTTGATGTCTGTTCCTTATTTGTTGGTTTTATATGTTTTGTTGTCCCCCCGGTTGGTTTGAAAGGGACTCTATCATTGCTGGATGCTTTCTCAAGGGGGCGTATGCGCAGATGGAGAGTACATTTTGCCGATGAAGCGACAGTTTGCTTTCAGGTTGATTCCCATTGCGGTGTTTTTGTAAAAGATTGCGTTTCGGTTGCCAATTTGAAGTTAGCTCTTGGTGGGGCCATGTTCAAAGGGGAGCCCTGTTAGTGAGCCTTTGTAAACAGGGTTGTTGGCTGGGTTTCCCAGTCACATCATCCCCGTGGTTCCCCTTTGTCCCTGCGAATTCGCTTCAAAGAAATGAAGGTTAGGGATAGCCTCAAAAGGCAAACCTTGGGAGCGGACATCCCTCATTCTCGATTTGGTACAGGCTACAAACGCAAGGAGTTGTTTTGGTTTCCCTGTGGCAATTGACTACTCAGACCTCCAGTGCTGCCCGAATGCTTGATTGGCTTCGGCCGGGACTTGGGCTCTCAATCCAGTTGGGGGTGGAGGTTTGAGCAATGTGGTGGAGGCACAAAAGAAGGAGTTGTTGCTAATAGTTCATAAACAACTATTGTTATTATTCATTTATATCTAATATTATATCAATTAGTCCATTCATGAGTCATTTTTTTTTTTTGTTGCTTTAAAAAGAATGGCCGCTGGTCTGGTTCACAATTCACCCTGGGAAATACTTCGAGCCGTGAAATGCCTGGTTCCAAATGTGAATGGACCCGGTCAACCTCTGGAGAAAACAAATGGATCTTGTTTAGCCGACATTGATGGGGAAGACTTGCTGGATTTGGGTGACTTCGGAGTACTCAAGACTCCAGTCCAAGGAATCCCTAAAATGGATTGTTTCCCATCAACATGGTTGTTGTTGGGAAACATTTTTACATTTTTGCTTGTTGTGGTTTAGTGGTTGAAATCCTCACTCAACTGCCAAAAGTTGAAGACCAAATGCTCCCCTTCCAACGTCAACCCAGTCAAAAGGACCGAGCCCAAAGGGGTCCCCGAGTGGTCGAGTCGACTGGATCGCGAGGTGTGCACGAGCACATCTTCCGGGGCTGTGCCGGCCTGAGCCTCCAAGATGACGACCTCGGCGAGGGCGCGGTGCGCCGCAACCCGGCGACGACTCGCTGGCTCCCTCGAGTTCTAAATGGGAACCCTTAGCTGGCTTGGTGGCTCCCAGCCATCCGGTTCCTTAGCTTTTCAGCTTTCAGTGTTTAAAAGTTGCGATTTGACCCACCCAAAGTGTTGAAAACTTTTAGCGGGAGATGTGGGAACAGCCCAGTTGGTTTGGAGGCTGGCGAAATCCGGCACGGCACCAGGAAATGAAAGGGTTGACACCAGTTGTGTTACTGGTATTTGCGTTGGAGACTCGAATCATTCCGGTGGGTTTCCTGAGTAGATTTCGTCCTTCCGTAGTTGGTGGGTTAGATTGGTTTGGCTTAGAGGGTGATTAAATGTGAAACCACCCCTATTTCACATTTTCCCAGGGGGCGAAACAGCAAATGCAAACCGTTGTTAGCAGGCCTTCCGCAGGATCGATCTTCCATTTGCGAGGGGTTGTTTTGTTTCATGTCCGACCTGTTCCTGGATGTCCGACCTGTTCCTGGATTGGAGTTGATTCAAGGGAGAGCCACATGTTGCCAACTGGTTTTTGGTGTCCCCTGTTTCAAGACCTCCAGTGGCTTGGAGCCCGGTGGTGTGTGCGCCGGGCTTGGAGTGTTTGCGTATTTGTTTTGTCTTGGAAGGAAGCAGAAATCCAGGTTGATGCAAAAAAACAGCTATCACTCGACAGGTTCATTATTTCCAGGCGTATTCGGAAAACACGGTTATTTTTCGGTAGAGGTGATGTGTAAAGGAGAAATATGGGGAGCCTTGTTTCAGCCGAATCCCTTACAGGATGCATTTCGGACCCCGCCAAAGGTGACCAAAATTATCAAAGGTAGATGTCAATCCTAGTTTTATGGGGTGTTGCACGTGGGGGGCCGATCAAAGCTCCTGACACCCAAATGACCATAGGTAACTTTATCCCGTTTTGTGGGAAACATCATGCTGTTTTGTTCGCGGTTTGCCAACAAAAAGCAAAGGGTCATCCCGGAATCCCATGTAATGTTGACCCCGGATTAATAAACCCCTGTTTATTAATATGGGGGTGTTCCCCTCCAAAAGTGGTCTAAATCCCCACTAAAACCAGGGAGAAACACCCCCATATGAATAGACAGGAGGTTTTTGTTTTCATCCGGGGTCAACACGGACCTTTGGATCAGCCGAATCCCGCGACATGAATCCCCCTTCCGGAAGCTTAGGAAAGCGCGACTTGGCGGGGGCGCCTCATGTCGCTGACTCCCAAGATGTGTGCCGCGGCAGAAAAGTTCGCCAGGTCCACCATGGTCCCCCGAGCACCCAAAATTAAAATGCACCCAACTTGGGTCAAACAAGGCAACCTTGATCAAGAAGACGCTGGTAGGAGCCTTTTTTATTGCGTTGTTGGTACATCCCGTGTTTACAAGCATGAGTTGGTTTGAGCCACATCTTAGAAACAAATAAGTCCAAAAGCCGACTAAGGTTTAAACAAACAAACCAACCCTTATACAATGATTTTGAGGCATAATGATCCAATAACCCCGTTGGTACAACTGCAGTGGGGCGCCGCCACAAGGATTTTGTTTGAAGAAATGTGGCTTCAGCATGTAAGGCTTTGAATTGCCCAAGAGGGGAAATATCTGGCAAGGCAGGGACCCCTGATTTTTGTTTCCAACTTGCCCCTACCCTTTAAAGGGCAGCCAAACGAGGTTCAAATGACAGCGGAAATTTGTCTAAGTATCTAATCCGTTGTCCCAGGGTGGTTCCCCAATTCCTTGGTGCTGAATAACCCATTAGTGACATTAGTGTTTGGTTTGGTCCGCAACGGCGTGGGTATTTTATTCGAGCTCCAGACCTCTTATTCAACGCCGCCTGTTCAACCAATTCACGGGTGCTGAAGAACCCGTGAAGTGAACACAGTCCTCGCAACTAGATTTCATGAGTCAAAGTGGGCAAACCATGTGGATCGAAATGAGGGCACCCAACAAATTGGCTGGTGTTCATGTCGAACCTCTGAGTTCTGAATTGGACTTTGGTCACTTGGCTTTGGTTGCCAGTTGTGGCCACGAAACAAGTGCGAGCCATTTTGGGGGGCCAATCCAACTCGCGTGAGCCCAACGGACCCCGCAAGCCCCCCCCCCCCCGTCCTGCGCTGAGGTTCGATTTGGTTTGCGGCTCTCCCACCCTGAAGGAGGCCAATGGGTGGGTCGCCGTGCCGTGTTTTTCTTCTTTTTCTCGGAACAGGGTGGGTGGCTTAGACAGCGGCGTGGGTGTTTTTTCGACCCAGTTGGTGGGTGGGTGGGTGGGTGGGTGGGTGGGTGGGTGGGTGGGTGGGTGGGTGGGTGGGTGGGAGGGTGGGTGGGTGCCTAGATAGCTCAGTTGCACTCTCTTTTATCCAGACACTTTAGCCTCCGAAAAGGCAGCAGTTGATGTGAAAACAAGCTGCAGGCAGCTGTTCCAGGTTGTCTCTGTTTAGGGGAACCCGCCCACCCCACGGGATTCCTTTCGCTCTCTTTAAAACCGACAAACGGGTACTGTTTTCTTTTCTCCTTGTTTTCAGAGGGAATCTATCACCGGATACATGTTGTATCGATGTGGGTATAAGTCTTAGTTAGCTCAAATACCTGCTTTTTTTTCAGGGTAGTTTTGGGAAAACCTGACTTTCCACGGTAAATACCTCGATTTTGGGTAAAGGGTCGACATCATACCCTGAAAAAAGCGGGTATTTGGAGTAGAGGGAAGAGGGCATAAGTTGCTTTTTACATTTTCCAGGCCCCCTGTGCGACACCCTGGGTGGCTTCCTTTGTTCAACTTGTCTCCGGTTGTGTGCCAGACCTGTGTTCGTGCTGTTTTGTTCCGTCTCTGTGCGTGTGTTGGTTGTTGTTGTGGGTGCAGGGGCGGTGTCGTTCCTTTTGATTTGGTCGGATTTCCTCTTTGGGGACGACGTGATTTGTTTCAAGTTCGCTTCTTGACCTAATGCCACGGCCTCACCTCCAGCGGGCTTCTCCGGTAAAGTTGCCGTGGAGTCGCCTCCACTTCTTTACCTGCTTTCCTTTCCGTCTTCCTTGCCGCTGCCCTTTCCACCACCAACGTTCTTTGCTGACAGGGCAATCCCTCTTGGTGTGGAGCCGTGAACCACCAGCATAATTTCAGTCTTTCAAGGGGCCTGGCAAAGTGGAATAAGGGGATGTAGGCGGACGAAAATGGTGGTTGTCTTACCTCAAAAAGCACCACAGACGGAGGTGTCTCAACTTCGCGTTGCTTAAGAATATGTGTTTGTTTTCCTTGTGGGTTTTAAAAGAAATCGATGTCACTCCTTTTGCTTAAGAATATGTTTTATTTTCCCTTGTGCATGGGTTTTAAAGGGAATCGATTTCACTACCGGACATATTTTGGCATTTTTTGCAGGGGGCGCAAAAGCAATTGAAAGCTAAGATTGTTTCTCAAGCATAGTTAGTATTCAGAAGCCTTTCTCCAGCACCCGGATCCCAGCCACTGCTTTTTGGTACTAAGGGGATATGGGTTGCACATGTAGTCTAGGTCCCCCAGTAGTGCCCTTCTCCCCTTTTTGGGGAGGGTTCTCCTTCTAAAATAGACTACAGCAAAACTAGTTGGCACCCTCATTCTAACCTCTCAAATCTGGAGGACCTAGAAGTTGAACCAATCCAGAAGCCAGGTGTTGAGACCCCAACCCCAAACGGTGCAAGTGGAAAATCGCAACAAAAAAAAAGGCACCTGGACCCTAGTGCAAACGCTTGCAACGTGATCCGATGTCCCCGATGAGGCGCACGCAAAGAAGGCCAACCCCCTGCTGGCCAACATGTTCGACGGCTGCGCCGGGGTTTATCTTCAGGAGCCCGTTTATCGTTTCTTTTTTGGTTGGGAGGGTTCGGGACCCTAAAATAGACTACAGACAAAAAGTTGATATGTTTATTCTAACCTCTCTACTGGAGGACCTAGAACAAGTAGGGATTGCACACCTTTGGTGTATTTTGCTTGGATGTTCGGACTTTAACTTTTTGCCAACTAGTGGGCTTTCCATTAAACCACTACAAGTTGAACTTTTAGCAGGGGAGCAGAAAGCAACTGAGAAACAAATGGGGTTGTCTTTGATATTTGCAGGGGAATCATCATGCCAAGGTTTCTTAGGTGGTGCATCGCCCATCCACAGTATGTTGTCTGATTGGGGGAAGTTTCTTTTGGTTGGTTTGAAAGGAAAACCAAAAGGAACCCCCCCAACTGTGGGGGTTCCCCAAAAACAGACGAGCCGCTCGAGTGTTTTTTTTGGTGGCAGCCCATGGTAGCCTCAGAACAGGTGCACAGCAGAAAACGAGACCCGTTTGTTGGCCTCCGACGGGTTGGCTCGGATTGGCTGCAACCATCACCTTTTGGGCCCTTTGGAGTGAGTTTCCTTTGGGCGGGGGTGATCTGGAGGGACAAAGATGAGCTTTGACACTTGAAGCAGAAGCACTCAAGAATGCTGGCACTGACGCTGCTTTGGACATCAGAGCCATGAAAGCTGATCGTGAGCTCTCGCGTGACGCAGTGACCACAAGCCCAAGAGCATCAACGTCGACCCATTGGCACCAAAGTTTGCCCTCTAGGTCCCTCAGTAGTGCCCTTTTACCAACTTTTTTGGGGGAGGGTTCCCTAGACAGAAAAAAGGGTACCCTTGTTCTAACCTCTCTACTGGAGGACCTAGCTTGAGCATGTTCATTTGGCTGTGGATCAAAACCAATGGGATCCCATTTTGGTGTAGGTGAATTCACCACGCATTTTAGAACCTATTTTGGTTGGGATTGGGATGTTCACTGGGGGTACGATTTGGCTTTTGACCCATGGCCATTTGGTTTCCCTCTTTCGCCTCACTCAACTCACATTGGCTGAAAATCTTGGCTTTGTTGTGAGACTGGGCTGGGTCGAGCGTAATTGGCTTGGCTGAATTGGGTTTACATAAAAGTTTGTGGTCAAGATTCGCTTGGTGGCTGAATTGGGTTGAACATTTGTCCTCCGGATTCTAGCGGACCGCCTTGGATCTGGAGGGTACCAGAATCCGAATCTTTCTAGAAAACCTTCAGAAACCCAGGGAAACGGATCTGGTTGTTGAAAGGATGCCTGACAAGAATGGGAAAGGAATCAACCCCTAGACTCTCACCAAAGTGGATGATCGTGCCAAGTTTCAACGTAAAATCCCAAAAACACACATGAACAACAACACGACCCGGTGGGGGACTTCTTCATTTGGGGTTTTTCTCCTTCCGAGACTTCCTCGAGCCCTCGGCCCTCCGAGCAGCCCTTCCGCAGGACGAGGACCTCGAGGGTCCCAGAGCTCGGGGCAAGAAGAAGGTCCCCGGCGGCGCCTACCGCTCCACGGCCCCCTCGACAGCACTAAAGAAGAAAGCGGCTGGCTGGTGTTTTTTTTCTGGAAGGAACCACGTGTGTAGCGGATTTCTTGAGGAAAACCCCGTTTTGGCGGGTTTTAACTTGTTTTGGGAGGACCCCCCCCCCTTTTTGGCGGGTTTAATCCTTTTTTTTAGGGGACAACCCTGTTTTGGTGGGTTTCAATCTTTAAGGTCTTTTTGGGGGTTTTAAGGTGAGCCCAAGAAGAACGCCGGAACCATGGGGAACCCTTTTTCGGGTGGGGGTGTCTATATGTTTTTAGCCAAGAAGAACGCCGAGCTCCATGCTGGGTAGGTCCGCCAAGCAAAAGACGTCGCATCATGTCAATTGCCGGGTGTGTGTCTTGAGGATTCTTCAAAACCTGAGTTCCGTTTCATAAGCCCTTCTTGGGCTTGGTCCCTTTGTGCGGTAAACAGTTTTTGTTCAGGGCTCCTTGAAAGATCTCCATGTTGCAACCATTCGAAACATGTTGTTTTTTCAACACCAAAAGAAAGGTTGGAAACAACACCATTCATAGTGTACGAATCCCCTTTTTTTTCTGGCCAATCCAATCTCAAGCCTTTGGCTTCCGAAGTCTCTTTGGTTAGTCGCAGCCGCTTGAGCCAAACGTCTCATGTTCTTCAAGGGTGTCTCGCTAAAGAGTTCAAGCTGTGAACTCAGCAAGTTTTTGGAATGCGAGAAGCAAAGCTCAATGTTGTTCGAAACTAATATGTGTATATATATATATGAGTCAACCTCAGAATTATCAAAGACCACTTTATCAACGGCGTTTCATTCAATACTGGTTTTTTTTTGCATTTTCCTTGGAGAACGGTAGGGGACTCACAAAAAACGATACCCCTGAACATGGTTTGTGCTGGACCTTCGAGCTGGAGCTGCCGAAGTCTAACTTGTGTACCGTGCCTGTACTGAAAGCTGCGACTTGCGACCTGGAGGTTGCTGCCAGCAAGCAAAAGCCGCTTAGACTGACACGTGACCGCCGCAAGCTACGACCTTCGAGCTGGAGCTGCCGAAGTGTAACTTGTGCACTGCGCTTGTGGTGAAAGTTGCGACTTGCGACCTTGAGGTTGCTGCCAGCAAGCAAGCCGCCAAGACTGATATATGATTACCGCAAGGCAGAGAAGGCTATTGTGTGTTTGCTTGGCTCTAACAGCTTATGGAAAATTGTGAAAATTTTCGTCACGCGACACACGCCCAGAACGATACCCCGGTCGATACCCCGTCGATACCCCGAGCATTGGCCCGAGTTGCAAATGTGAGGCCTAGTGCATTTGCTTACAAAAGACTACGCGTGTGGTTCCAGTGCTGTGTTTGCGTAGAAAGTTTGTCGGGTGCTTTTCGAGTTCGCGCGGCGCTATAGGGGTTTGCGTAGAAAGTTTGTTGGGCACGCGTGGTCACCGCGAAGAGGGTTCACCGGGCACTTTCCAAATTCGCACGGAGTCGCAGCGAGGGCGCTTTGACACGCGCAATCCTCGCAGAGGGTTCATTGGGCACTTTACGAATTTGCACGGCGCCACAGCGAGAGCGCTTGGGCGCGCAGGATCACTGCAAAGGGTTCACCGGGCACTTTCCAAATTCGCACGGCGTCGCAGCGAGAGCGCTTTGACACGCGCAATCCTCGCAGAGGGTTCATTGGGCACTTTACGAATTTGCACGGCGCCACAGCGAGAGCGCTTGGGCGCGCAGGATCCCTGCAGAGGGTTCATCGGGCAGTTTTAAAATTCGCACGGCGTCACAGCGAGGGCGCTGTGGCACGCGCAATCCTCGCAGAGGGTTCATCGGGCGCTTTACAAATTCGCACGGCGCCACAGTGGGAGCGCTTCGAGGCGCGCGATCCCTGCAGAGGGTTCATCGGGCACAGCACGAACACGCGAAACGTGGAGAACGATAGGGGAGGACTCACTAAAAGTAGAATGAATACACCCCACACAGCAAATATAGACGCTGGCTCATATACATGTTTCCCTCTTGTTTCGCTTGTTTTTAAAGAAATGTATCACTGCTGGAACTATTTCGTTCCAGGGGACTTGAGCAAATGCAATAATTTGTCCCCAAACCCCTCCGGGCACGGAAGCCCAACCTTTTTTGCATTCTTGTTTTTTGTCTCTTGCGTGGCATGCTTACCTCAGGTAACCCTTAGTTGGTGGTTTGGGATTGGATTGGGGATTTGAACCCCTGGCTTTTGTAGAGGGAAACTGGGAAACCCCTCAGACCAAATAGAGGGAAGCTGAAGGAGCCTTCGGCCAATTTGGAGAACAAAGGCGACATGTCCAAGCTCGATGGTTCATCCCATGCTACCTGACCCTCAAGGCCATACACTTGTCGAACCGAGTAGGGCTATGTGCATATGGTTTGTACCCTGAGAGTAATTCACCCATGTTTCTGGTGGGGTCCTCTGAAGCTACATTGATCTTTTATGGACTAAGAGTGAAACATAATCACAAAATAGAGTGTTCCGTGCACCCCTTGAGGGCCAAGACCACTTGAGGGCCAAGACTCCTGGTTGGTGTGCAACCAACTTAACACAACAGTAGGTTGTAACCCTGCTTAAACGGGGACTAACCCCAGTTACCCCAGTTAAAACTATGGTTTCAACCTACTTAACGAAGTTGGCTGAACACCCAAGCAGTGGGTTCCTAAGACCTAGTGGGGTCCATGTTCGTGGAAGGGTTAGTGTGCCGAATCGAGACTCACACAGCTGAGGTCGGGCATCTTGGCTATGAGCAAGCGGAGCGCGGCGTTATGCAAGGTTGGCATGCAATCACTTTCCTTTGGAATTTTTGTACACTGCCAGGGTTGAATGGGAGCCATATTGGCCATATTGGAGGCTTTCCTGTGAGCACCCAAACCCGACTCGGGAATCCCAAATCCCCAAAATGGATCTATTCTAGTGGGTGTCGTTTCATCTACCTGAAAACTCATTGAGCTACCAAGGCCTACATAAACCATAGCCATCTTACCAGAAGTCCGCTCGGGTTTCGAAACTGCCCAGATTCGCGCGGTTTCCACCTGGAGCCTCCTTCAAGAAGGACCCTTTCAACTTCGGGTCGCTTGACCCGTTCTGTTTAGGAATGATCCCATTTTCTTGTGCTCAGAAGGAAACACCATATTATATACATATACCTGGACCTTCCGACATGTAAAATTAACGCCGTTTCCCAAAACACCAATAATTTTCGCTGGTTGCTGAACAAAATGCTCTTTCGGAGCCCGTTGAGGTAGGTTGCAAACATGGGGTTACCGAAGCCCCTTTGAATCAAGGAACAGAGGAAAAGCGCGGTCTGCGCATAGCAAGGGTTATGAGCCCAACCCGGTGCTGAACCTCGCCATGGATGCGGGGATGAGAAGGCGGAGAACGAGGTCTGCGGACCCAGGCATCATGGTCGCCAGGCTGGAGGGCCAGATCGAGGAGAACCCGGAGGAAGATCCTGGAGCCGGAGGACCTCGTGAAGGGCGAGACGCTCGGGGAAGGCAAGGAGAAGCTGGGGAACGGCGGGTGGAGGTAAATCCTTTCTGGAGCCAACGGGCTGTGGATGAAGCATATCTGCAGGCTATGAGGCCGGAAGACCTGCCCAAGGTCCCTGGATCCGAGAACTCGAAGATGGTCGAGATCGCGAAGGATGAGAACAATGGAGAAGGGGGCCCTCTTGCGGGAGATCTTCCTGGGCATGGTCGGGAGATTGGTGGGCACCCGGAGGCGGCGAGCAGTCAGCGAAGTGAGTTCTGGAGTGAGGTCAAGAGGGACCTCATGACGGAATTGGAAGGCGCCAGAATGGCGAATGGTGGAGAGGTATCTGGGCCTGAACCTGGTTTTCCACAGGCGAAAGAACAAGGAGTTGGAGGACATGGTCGGGGAGCAGCACGGCAAGATGATGGCCGAGCTCTTCAACATGATCACGGAGCTCTACGAGCTGCTGGGGGAGTTCCTCTACGGCAAAGAAGGGAAGAAGGCGGTGGACCTCGGGGTCGAGCTCTACTACCAGGTGAGGGTGGAGTTCAACGGCAAGAGCGAGAAGTTCAACGTCCAGGAGAAGAGAAGGATCCAGAGCTAAGGGATCAGAGGCTGTGGGAAGAGGAGTGCCGAAGAACGGAAAGGGCGGTTCCGGGAGAAGAGGCCGCACGAGATCCGGAAGGACGAGGAACGAGAGGCAGGAAAGGCAGCGGAAGCACTCCGTTGAACCTGGATTGGTTCTGGAACGATGAGTTCAAGGTCTGGATCCCAGAACGACCTCAACCACCCGATGACGAGGAGCTGATCGGAAAAATGGATCTTGCTCAAGAGATGGAGAAGAACTTCATGAAGGCATGCCGAAAGATCCGGGGGATGGAGAAGCAGAGGGATTATCTCTTCGGGATCATCAAAGGACTGCGCCAGGAGGTAAGGAAATGGCAAGAGAAGGCGGAGGGTTGGCGACAGAGACATCGGGAGCATGAGGAGCCGAGGTTTCAAACTCCCATGGATGAGATCTTTGCAACGCCAAGTGCATCGGCACCTCCACCACCACCACCGCCACCACCACCGAGGCGGGCAGAGTCCCTGGAGATGGTGAGGCCGGGTAGAAGATCCAGGTCGCCGACAAGGAGCTTGTTGAGGACGCCGGGGGGAACCAGGTTGCCGGAGGGTGAACCTCCGCTGGAGGTGCAAGTGGTCGGAAAAGGAGACCAAGGTTGGGAGCCTCAGTGGGAAAGCCAGGACTACCAGCAGTGGGGACATGAGGGATGGAACCACAAGGCGGAATGGACCCACTGGGATAGCTGGAAGTTGTGGGAAAAGGGCAACGAGAAGTGAAAGATCCCTGAGGAGCAGGTTGCGGGTGGTGAAAATGCTTCATCGACGGCGTCGGCTACTACCGGAGGTGGGGCTGGAAATGCAGGGGAAATTCAAGTGGGGGAACGGGGGAGCTTCTGGCGGAAGCAGCGAGCCTTCTTCGGTCCCTACGTCACCCAAGCATGAATGCGGTCATCGTGATGAA